ACATTTAGATTTTAAGACTACTTAAATGTTATATTAAAAAGAACATAATAATTCCACAAAAGGATAAATCTCCAAGTTACTATACAACAGGAAAATAAAGATATGTATATGCACTATGTTCATTCCAGTCCCACCCTCCACTCCTTAGAAAGCTTGTTAAAAATAAAGTGAAATATGTGACTCAGACCTCAGTAGTGGTGGGAGCAGCTGCTGGAGGTGGCACTGGAACTCTCCATCATCATGGCGGTAGCGGCAGGGCTGGCTGCAGCTCTGGCTTGGGCTTTGTCTTCTTCATCTTTTATGGCCTCCTCATACTGACATGGGAAATCACGTGGCGCAACCTCATGGACTCTGCAGATAAACTCCAGGAGTTCCATCTTGCTGATTTCAGCGTGGGCCCTCGGACCCCACACAAATTCATAACACACAGGATCGCTGTTAGGCAGCGGCCGGTACTCCAGGTACTCTTCCTGCACCAAGTCTTCGGTGACGAGCTTCCTGGGATCCCCAAACATCAGGTGATGCTGCTCAGCATATACGCCCAATGTATTCAGCGTTTGCCAGACTTCCTCCTCAGTGGCTCGGTTGCCATTCAGGAAGATCACACCCAACATATGAATCAGGAGGCCGGTCTTGGGCATGCCCTCTGTGTCACTCAGCATCCCATCATAGGTGAGGCCCAGTTTAATGACGAGGATGTAGCCATGGTCGAGAGGGTCGACTTCTTTCACATCAAGGCCAAACAGCATCTCTATGCGTTCAGATGCTTTCAGGAAGATCTCAGGAAAGTGGTCCTCGTACTCTTGGATGACAATATCCAGCATCTCGGCTTCTGTGATCAGGTCCCTATTTTGATACTTGAACAGCAGAAAATTCACCAACAGAGCCACCTTCTCATCAATAGGGTTTGTGGGCCAATATTCAGAATCTGGTAGAAACTGTGAGTCAATTATGATAGCCCCATCTTCTTGGCTACTATGGTCTTCATCCAATGTCATCTCTGAGGTGGCTGTCATAGCAGTGGAAGAGCCACACTCACTCTGAGGAACCTGAATAGTACTGACGGTCTCTACAGTAGCATGCTCCTCCTCATAGATGGGGATTGGAGAAGAGGAGGAAGAGGAGGCGGCGGAAGAGAAATCATCCACAACCTCAAGGAACAGTATATCATCCAGGTCCTGGAACTCAGGGAAGAGAGGAAGGTATTCTTCAGTGAAGAGGTGGGGTGTTTGCTTTTGGCTGGGCATGATGAGTAACTTCTCCGGGTGGCCGCAGACAAGATTGGGGGCAGAAGAGCAGAAAAAGCAGGCCCACAGCCTAAAGGAGAGGGGGGAGATGTGTGCCAACTAAGATGGCAAGCTAAAATCTGGCTGTTTTGACAAAGGTGATCTCTATCAGACCTTGCTCGAGGAATAGTGCTCTAGGGTCTTACAGGTCTCCTGTCCTAGTCAGCCTTTCCCTTAGTAGCCACTGCCATTGAGTTGATTTTGACTCATAGTGACCCGACAGGAGAGAGTAGAACTGCTCCAAATATTTCCAAGACTGTAAATCCTTATGGAAGCTACTGTCTCAACTTTCTCCCATGTAGCAGCTGCTCAGATTGAACTACCAACCTTTTGTTTAGCAACTGAATGCGTTAACCACTATGTCACCAGAACTCCCATTCCCCATAGTACCATGAAGGAGGAAATTTGATTTCTGCTCGGGCAGCCATCCAACTCAGCTCAAGGCTTTCCATGGATCATAGCAGGGCAGGCAGTGTGAGACACTCTGTGGCTGCCTTGCTTTTAGTCTGGATGTTCCCCTCTGTTCTTATTCATGTCTTTTACGTGATAGGAACACTAGGCCCTTTTTGCCTCTGATGGCCTGAAGCCACCCCTCTCAAATCAAGGCCTCATCTCTCTTAGAAATCATAGGAGAAATTGAGGAGAAATCCCATACAGCCACCCTCCATGAAGGATTACCAGGGTTGACATAGGGGCTAGATGCTGTGGCCCATCTCTTCTGGGATAGCTGGTACTCTCAGATTCTACTCAGGTTCCTTACCATGACTGCTAGCAGAACTAGGACTTCTTCTGCTGACCTAATATCTAGTTCTCAGACAAAAGCTTTCTCCACTAGGATATCCCTGAGGAAGAAGTTCATGGACGCCTCATGCCGACAACTCTAACATGTGCTGCCCGGAGCCAATAACTGGGGCAGAACAGGACTCTTTGTGTCTCCATTGTTCTTCAATTGCAGGCCCCTTAGTCCCCATTCAGTGTCTTATCTTGATACTTAGGAGGGCCTGATACTCCACCCACTACTGACATAGTCTTCAACCCCAGACTAAGGTCATCACTCCCCTGAGACGCCTAAAACAGAATACAGGTGACATCCTTTCTGGTATCCCCTGCCAGGGCCATTCCAGGCTGACATCAAGGTTCTAATCTGTCCTATCTTTTCTGCTTTCAGGAGATGATCCCATTGGTCCTCACTCAACATCTTCACCTGGACTCCTACAAAGGTTGGGAATGCCCAAGCCCCTATTACCTTGAAGCATATCTCCTCAAAACAAGGGCAACATCTCATTCAGACACATAACTCGGAAGTGACAAGTTACATCAGTCTAATAAGTCTGCCCAGGGCATGCTGGGATGAAAGCAGAGACAGCTTCTAGTCTGTTGGTCCAGTCTGTTCTGTGTTGTGAGGTCCCAACTCTATTTTCTTTACCTCTGGCAATTCCTGAAACTGTCTCCTGACTTGAAGTTGCCCACTCACTATAAGGCTCAATTCCATGTGCCCATGGTAGAAGAGTGAAAGGGCATCTTATCGGGCCATCTCTGCCTAGTGTCTGCTTGGGTTCCAAATGGTTTGTCGGACTACAGTTTTCTGGAGTGGTGATTGCCTTATTCCCAACTCACATTACTTACCCTGACTATTGGCAGGGCCTGGGATCACTCCTTCTGACTTCATGTTGCCTACTCAAACCAAAGTCTTCCCTGACCTGGGACCACCCGGAGAAAGTGCTGAGAGCAGAGCACAACTCTGTGTGGCTCTTGAAGTTCTGTGATGGGTGGCCCCACAGTCCCAACTCAGTGTCTTACCTTGATCTAAGATCTTGGCTCCTCCCTCAGTTGTTCTAATGTTGCACACTCACAATGTGATCTGTAAGAAGTGTGAAGAAGGGAGGGGTCATCCATCCCATCCACTCCAGGCTATCCGGCTCCCAGGGCTCCTAGTGGTCTTTGGGACCACACATTTGTGGGTGGGTGGTCCCCTCAGACCTCACTTGGGGTTTTTAAAATCATTCCTGGATGTGCTTTGGAGTCCTCCTTCCGCTGACCTGATGTGACATACAGAGTAAAGGCTTGCCTTCCCTGAGAACCCAAGGAAGACATGGGGGGTCATCTTAGCCTGAAATCCTTGGTTGAACTCCAGCGCTAACAGCAGGGGCAGACAAGACTCTTAGTGAGCATCCCCTAGGATGGGTGGTTCCTATACACCTAAATCTGGGTCCTTACATTGATTACAAGCAGGCCCTGGGGCTCCCCACTTTGTAGACCTGGCGGGTATCCCCTCCACCCAGGGCAGGCACCTTCTCCAGATTCCTCAACAGATAGAACATTTCAGGGCTTACCAGAGTAGAAAACAGGAAGATCACAGGAATTTGTCTCCCCTCCATTCTAGGGTCGGTGAACTCCTCAGTCCACTCACTGTCTTACCTTGACACCCAGCAAGGCCTGGGAGGCCTCCCTCCACTGAACAGAGACCACCCCTAAGCCTTCATCTGCCACAGACCCCACCCAAGTCATAAATCTCCTCCCAACATCTGACCATCTCATTCCTGGTATGTCCCAGGGCAGACAGCATGGGCAGGTCTCTGAGGGACCCCTCTGTTCTGAAGTAGGGGCTGTCCTCAATCCTCACAGTCCATCCCTTGACTCCTAGCTGGACTTGAGCTTCTCCCTCTGTTCCCTCAGGCTGTACCCTTAAATCGAAGGCCTTAACTGACAGTGTTTGAGCTGGGAGCTGGGGGATGTAACTCTGTCAGCCCACCTGGGCTTCCAAAGCTGACTACAGGGGGCGGGGTGGGGTATTGTGCAGGCCTTCTCCGGCTTGGCATTGGGCGTGGCCTCAATCTTATTCTGAGTCCAGTCTATATTTAGACCCCTGGCAGGCCTGGAATCTCCCATTTCTTAACTTAAGTATATCTTCTTGGTATAAAGTCATCACCTGTGTTGGGCCTGCCTGGGGCTTCCGGAGGCTGACTACATGGGGTGGGGACATCGCTTCACATTTCATTTGGGGTCCAGTCTGTATTTAGATTCCCCAGAGCCTGGAATTCCTCCCTTTCTTGACTGAAGTATATTTCCCTGGTACAGCTACCCAAGGTGAATGTCACAGGGCTTCAGCCTGACTCCTCCGCACAGGTCGTGCCAGCGGTAACAGCAAGGTCAAGGGCCTGGATCTTATATTGGGGATCCTCTATTCTGCAGTGGCTAGTTTTATCATTCCCCACTCAGTGTCTTACCTTGACACCTCTCAGAGTTTGTGAATTAATCTCTTTTTCTGACCGGTAGCCGCAACGGTCGGATCAACTTCCTACATCACGGACATTCGAGGCAGACGTCACCAGAAGAGCCTTCAGGCTTCCACTACGGAGGCCTCCCACGGCTGACAGCACGTGCACGGCTTTGTGAGGCAGCCTCCGTTTTGATATTGGGTCCAAAAATCGAATGTCTATCCACATTTTCCCATACATTTTAATGTACATACAGCCATTATAGTACTAGGATCTTACAGAAATTAAAACATAAAGGACAGAAAAGAAGAAACAAACTTTCCACAGTTAACACAGCATTAGACACTATATGAGGTAAACGGAAAAACTATTCAATCAGTAAAATACTATAGAACTATTGTTTGGCATAAGATCCATAGAGAAAATTTTATTTTTTGGAAACAGACAATATGACAATTTAATTAAAATATATCTTGTGAACTATGATAACAATATTTCAAATACTGCAGAATAACCTAAGAGCTTGTAAGAGCTCTAGTAGTGCCTAAGGCATTTGACTGCTAACCAGAAGGTTGGCGGTTCAAACCCACCAGCCACTCCTTGGAAGA